CCTTGGTACATTCACTAGTATAGTTAGGTTTACTTGTAATAGTTGGACAATTAAGATGTTTGTTTTTGTTTTGGTGGTTTGTATAAGGACCCTCCTTAGGATCTACTTCCTGCTGGTTGTTATCATAATGTATTATAGTGGTTTGACTAGATACTTTTGAGGATGTAAATAGAACTTTTGGGGGTTGTATATATCGTAAATAGTACTCTTTTGGTTTGTCTAGATTTTATTGTTTTGAAATTTCGAGTCCTGGCGCGAGTTAGACAGGCGTCCCGCCGATACCCTAGGGTTCACCCATGGAAGAAGCGGGGGCGTCACATTGGTAATTGATTAATCTTTTCAAACTGACCCTTGTTTAAATTAAATTTATTAACAAGTGTTGGGTATCTGCCGAGAAGGCAGGTGACTATAGTTACAAACCATAAAAGTTAGAGATAATCCCCTGTCTGCTCCATGTTTCTTAAGTCTCGTCATTCTCTTGTTAAAAGAAAATTAAAAATAAAAAAGGGAATCAATACCGCCCCTCCCTTCGTAGAAAAAAAAATTTTTAAAAGTGGTGGGTGTCTCCTTCATACCTGGAAAGAAATTCTAAATGGAATTTTTCCTCTTTGGTCATGAATTTAAAACACAAACCAAATTCAGAAAATATATGAACATTCAAACTGAACATCAGGAATTTATCCAAGAGTCTACTCTAAGTGCACGTGCTTGGATGGAAGTCCAAGTTGCCGCCAGTGTTTTGAGTTTCAACCAAGGCACCAAGCAGCTTTTTTCTCTCCAAGGAATGTTAAAGGTTTACGCAAGCACTTTCGGATTAGGACTCTTGATTGATTTCTTCTTTCTGAGAAGATAAAATAAATTTTTATTCCTTTCTTTAGTGCTTATATTGCCCTCAAACAGTCTAAATTCACATCTTTGAGCGCTGAATTTGCTAACTAGTCAACACTTCAAAGTTTTCTAACTACGAGATTCCATATTTAAGGGTGTGTATATATGTATGTATGTATATATATGTATATATGTGTGTGTATAGTTAGGATTAATTACATTGGAGTCCCTAAGCTATTCGAATTATTCACATTTGGTCTCTCATCTATTTAAACTTTAAAATAGGCTCTGCAACAATAAAAAGTGTCAAATTTTGATTCTTGTGTCCATCCTCACCATTAAATTTGATGGGAATAGGAACAAAATTTAACTGATCTAACGGAAAAAATGGATTGAAGAATCAAAATTTGATGCTTCTTTATTATTGAGGGGGCAATTTGGGACTTGAAATAGATGAGGGGTTGAAAGCTGGTAATTGAAATAGTTTTGGGGTTCTTTAGGTAGTTTACACTTTACACTTTACACTAGAAGTTATGGGAGACAACATGTATTTCTAAATTTGCCTACTTATAAACACTTGGGCTCCTCTTCTGTTCGAAACTCCGGGTCCAATGTCTTTACTATTAAAACATGAATGACTAAAAAATAGGGTACTATGTCTATTACATTGCTTGTATAATTTTATAGGTTTAATGTTTAATTTTAGAGGTTAAATTAATTGTAGATTGATATTTCATTTCTTTTCTCCACGCTTCTTAACTCCTACTCCTACTAAAATAACCGTATTTTACACTTTTTCTTAAAAATAAATTATTTTTAAGAAAAAGTATAAACATTCCGATTATACCATCACTTTCAATATAGTATAGAAGAGCTATCATGTAATCCACGTAACATGTTGTCAAACTCTACCGCACGCGGGAAGCATCTAGAACGCGCAGAGTACATAAAGTTACGTCAAATGGGAGAATCCAATCATTTCACTTTCAATTCCTGAGCATGAGTAAGGTCAGCAATGGTGCATGTTGTTGACAATTTTGTCTTCGATTTATGAGTTGTCACGGCATTCGGCAGCAGTGAAGTGTGCCCAAATGTTAATATCTTTGTACATTGGTCATAAATCAACAAAGTTTATAAAAGTAAGGAAAATAAATGTAACTGTGCGCACTATAAACAAATATGTATTTGGACTATTATAGTTTTATTTAGAAAAATTCTTTATATATTATGATTTCTATTAAAGAAAAATAGAGGAAATAATCCTCAATATTTAAAGAAATTTTAAGTTTTTGGCGTATACACAAGGATATACCACACATATATCCAATTTATACTACAAAGATCAAAGTGAAAATTGAGGTATAGTTAAAGAATGTAAATGGATTTAGCCAAAAAAATGCTTATATTTACCAGAAAATGTCTGAATACAAATTGCTGACCTAAATTATATAAGGAATATGAATAAAGTGGTTTTGAAGTATGGTCTATTGCTGAGTATGCTGACTAGTCAACACTTCATAGTGCTCCAACTAGAGGAATTCATGGTCAAGGTTACAGACCTTTTTTGATGTTGCAACAGATAACACATATTTCTAAATTTACGACATATAACACATATTTCTAAATTGACCAACTATGGAACACTTGGGGCTGCTCTTAATTTCCCTCATTACCTATACATTTAGATTTCCGAAACTCGTAATTTATATATCCTTAATATTAACGTGTAAATGACTTAAAAATAGAAAGTTAGGTATATTTAAATTCTAAATGCCTTTCTATTTTAAAGGTTTATGTCCTATTTTAGAGGAGATTCTACGGTCTTTTTTGAAAATCATATCTTCGAACTAAATTCACCGTTGGATGGTGAAATAAATGTTTTTGACTCAAATTTTACCAACCAGGGGTACACATATTTTGTAGAATTTTTTCCTCCAGCATTTAGATCGAATGTTGTATATCATTGTTCTTCGCAAAATAAGAGCTAAAACATTAAAAAATTTTCTAATTGTACCTTATCTTCAACATATATAGGGTTAATCACAATTAATCTCCTTAAGATTTACTCCATGTTTCGCTTTACCCCCTAACCTTTTTCTTGTCTCACTTTATGCCTGCTAGACAAAATTACCCCTCTATTATTCTTAATTTCTAATTTTTTTCTTTTGTATTTTTTTTCTTTCCTTTTTTTCTCTCCTTTATTTCTTTGTCTCTTTCTTGTTTCTCTACTTCTTCGGTTCTTCCCCTTTCCTACAAGAAACTCCATCTTAGTGATTGAAGTTAAAGAAAAGAGACAAAAGGAATTGTAAAGATATTTTTTCTCCTCAAATGGTCATTAAGTATTCAAACCCCTTCTCCAAAATAGCATTTTTTGACTTTTCAATTCTTTTGCTTTTTCTCTTGTTATTTTGGTTTCTCATTTTATCCTTAAAAAATCATAAGATGAAATTGTGACTTGATTAATGATCATTAATTGCAATTTGCGACACATGGTATTGTACAAAAGATTGAAATTAGCTTTTGATGCCTTCACAAATTTTGCCTATAAACCCAATTACAAACTCTTGATAAAGTTTTCTGTTGAGATGAAGTCTCTTTTACTACAAAGGATGGAAGAGAGGAGAAAAAAGAAAGAGAAAAAGAAATAAAGTAGGGGAAAGAGGGGAAAGGAAAAAGAATAAACGAAAAGTCAAAATAGTAGAAGAGTAATTTTGTCCTAGAGGGATTATGTGACAAAAATTAAAGGTTAGGGGATAAAGTGAAAAATGAGATGTACTTAAAGGAATTAATTGTAATTAACCCACATATATATATTTGGAATGATTCTATCACCGATTATATTGTCACATCCACCAGCACGTGGTATCTAGAACGTGCAGAGTATATCGCCAAATATTAACGTTAATGGGAGAATCAAATCATTCTACTTTCCATGCTTGTGCAAAACTAATTGAGGTCAGCAATGGGTCGTCAGGGAATTGGGCTAGTTAATTTAGTGAGCTCCAAGTGTTAATATTTTAGTAAAGTAATAATAAATCAGCATACAAAGAGAAATAAATGTAATTGTGTGCACTATACATATAATGCAAAAAAAAATTCCTTAATTATTATATCGTCTCTTAATGAGTCATGTAGAAAATAAACCTCAATATTTTACGGAAAGTTTAATTTCCCTTTTTTTGTGTGAAAGATATCAAACCCCATAATATTGTTGGTATAGTTATCCATAATATTGTTGATATAGTTATCGAACCCCATAATATTGTTGATATAGTTATCGAACCCCATAATATTGTTGGTATGTTGTTGATATAGTTATCAAAATCCATAATATTGTTGATATGTAGTTATCCATACAACTTGCGAAGGCAGTGACGCAAACCATTTTTCCCCCGTCAATAAAGGTTTTGCTAAAAAATTTAAGCATATAATTGGCAAGAAAAATACATATCACATATCACATATTTCAATCATAAAGATCCAGTGGATCCCAAGAAAACTTGTCAAACTTTTCATTGTAAAGCAATTGACCAAACAGATAATTACCTTTTTCTTTATTTTTTTCTGTTCATTGCTTGGCAAAACCTTTCTGTATCAATAGCTTAAAAGGGGTCTTAATAGTCGAGTTTAAGCTTTTAAAAGTCCAATCTTGGCAATTATTGCAATTATTTTAGCTACCAAACCTAGGTGTGATGTGACAAATCTTCTACTGCAGAAAGCACAAGCTTCCAAAATGCCAGGGAATGAAAACTGAAAAGTGAATTCTCTGCACTAATTTTATTTTACCTTTTTTATTTCTTTAATTTATAGATTTTTCTAACGATGTTCACCCATTAACATGCATAAAAATCACGTAATCTAATATATATACACGCATACTAGTAATTATTAGTCTCCCTTTCATTTATATATTTTTTTCTATTTAATCTTACCTATCATCTCTTGTATTTATTTACTTTCCTTAATTAATTTTACATTTTCAAATTAAGATATATTTTAATGGTGCCTCGTGGGCATCTATTAGACAGATCCAAAATTATTTTTTATATTTTTTGGATAAGCAGATGAATAAACAGAGACAATACAGATAATTCTTATCTGTCCTTCAATTACTTGCCATATATAAATACAAAACCACATAGCCAATTGTCCATCAAAAAGCACTACAAAGAATAGACAGGATAGTAGTCCTACAACTAGCTCTAGTCTAAAAAGTTGGCTTAGAAAAAGATGTTTTTGTCTAAGCCAATTTCCAATCATTCTCCTCCTCTTCTTCTTCTTGTGCTGCTGCTGACTCCTGGTTTGGCAGCAGCAGAATTTGCTGCCACAGAACTCAGCCATGATGTGTTACAGCAGCAGGCGGGCGACCGGGTGGTTCAACTCCCTGGCCAGCCATGGGTGCATTTCAAGCAGTATGCAGGATACATCACTGTGAATGAAACTCATGGAAGAGCACTGTTCTATTGGTTTTTTGAAGCTACCAGAAATCCTGAAAAGAAACCTCTTCTGTTATGGCTTAATGGAGGTAATTCTGAGAACTAATCCTTTCTACATTTGCAATTGTGTCTATCAGGGTTGTCTTGATTTATGTACATGTTTCTGTCTATTTGAGGTTAATATGTTATGTCTCATTAGGTCACATTCTGTTTTTGTTCTTTACCCTTTTTTTTTTCTGCCTGGTGGAGTGGGGGAGAGAGGAAATTTAAACTTATGACCTCTAATTTCTGGGAATCAACCGCAAAAGTTATTAACTGGATTTTTAAAATTATGGGGATCATATTAGATTTATTTAAAAGGTTATACCTGCATTTCACCCAATTAAAAAATTTCCTTTTTCTTCTTCTAACATGCGCTCCTTTGGATTAGCTATTTTTGGAGGGTGTTTTTGAAATATTTTACTGTAACAGTATATATAAAAAATTTTATTATAGATGTTTTTTGAAATATTTAATATATTGTATGGATGAAATTTTTTAAAATTATTTTTGTTTGTGTATTAATATAGCACTGTACTTTTGAAAAATAGACCAATCCAAATGGATCAAACTGGCAGCAATTTGATATCACTTGTAGTCATTTTGTCACAGCAAATTGCAATCAATGATATTGTCTCCGTAGAGTGTATATGCTACTTTTGGTCAACTACTATCTTTTCAAATGATCCACAATTTGTGATTGGTCGCCTTTGGTACGCGATGATGAAACAAGGCCTTGTACCTCACTCGTAATGGTTGGTTAGCGACAGCCCACGAATGAACCAAAACAATTGTCCCAAGGGAATTGGGCAATTAGAAAATTCCTTTAATCATGAGATACAAGATAACTCAAATAGAGGCTTTAATGAGCTAAATCAAGTGGAATACTTGGTTTTCGAACTCTGTTAGTATATTATATGAATAGGATTCGAGTTCGACTCGAATATTAATGAATTATAAATGTTGTTCAAATTTGATTTGTTTATTTGTATAAATATTTAAGTTCAAATTCGAACTTGATTCGTTAAACTATACGAGCCGAATTTGAGTTCAAATTTGATTTTGAAGATAATCTAATTATATTTTTAATAAATAATACATTATTTAGAATAAATTTAATTGTATTTATTGATTTTAAAAAATAAATAATGCTAACTTATGTACAATTATATAATAAATATATTTAATAATATTAAATGTATTTATATTTATATTTATTTTCATAATTATATATATGGAATAGTTCGCGAACAGATTCATGTTCGACTCAATTATTAAATGAGCCTAATATTGTAGTTGAATTCGATTTGTTTATTAAATGATTGACCTTTTTTCGAATTCGAAAGAGCGGAACACAAATACGTTCACAAACAGTTCGATTCGTTAAAAGCATTATACTTAAATATCAAAGAATATTAAAATTTACATTCATTTCAAAAGTTTCCTTATGATTTAACAAGGGCCAAATTTGTGCTTAAAAAAAAAGGGGCCAAATTTGGACTTAATTGATATGTCACCCAAGATTTTAGGGAATGAATTTGCATATTTAGTAACTATATAAGTTTGTGATTACATTTTTTTAGAATTTTACCTTGGATTTTTTTAATGGATGCCCTTAAGGCATTCGTTAACACATCTAACATTCACCTAACCTACTATATATATACACGTACTAACAATTATTATACTACCAGACACTTATATACTTTCCCTATTTAATTTTACCTACTGTCTCTTGTATTTATTTACTTTTTCTGATTAATCTTATATCTTTAAAAATATAGCACATGAAATATATCTTAAACAGACCATTTTATCCAAGCAATATTGTTTCTCTTTTTTTTTTTTTTTTTATGGGGTTTCACAGTTTCACTGCTGTCTCTTCATTTAGATTATTGTTTCTCTTCACACTTTATTTTGACTCCACCATTGAACGTGGGAGATTGGACCAATATTGGCGGTCTCGACTGTTACAACTCGCTCTCCCTTTTGGGAAATAAATGAATATATTTTAAATTTGTTTGGAATAGGATATCTATGACAATAAATATGCCATTAATGTCCATCCTCATCCACTACACTTGGTCAAACAGGTCACTTTCTCTTAAGTATTATTTCATATTGATATCGACTCAATTTCCCTTCAGATCTTTGCCTAGGTGAAAATATTTGATCTCATAAATATATATATATATATATATATATTAAGCAACAAAAGAATCAGTAGATAACATAAGATACAAATTTCACCAAAAAAATGCATAATATGCAATTCAACTTCTACTACAACTTTTAAATATACAATTAATTTTATTCTTAATCATAGAATTTTTTGTTTTTTGCATAACAAATATGGAATTTCCTACCGAATTGGCACACTCGCTAAAATATCTAAATTGCACTTAACTTACCGTGTAAATACATAAAATCACATTTATTATCTCCTACATTTAGATACTTTCTCAAATTTGTTTCACGTTGATCACACTCGTCCAAATCCAACAAATATATATACTTTGGATAAAAAGGAAAAGGATAACTGAAATTCTCCTCTTGAAGAACATTGAATACGGTCAATGACATCATTATAAGCTTTTCCAAGGTAACAATAATAACGGCTACAAACTTTTCAATTTCTTTAAGCAGAAGTAAAGGCGAAAGAGTACTTTAGAAGTTTAGCCAAAAGGAACACCTTTGTGACTGATTAGCTGGGGCCTTGCCAACTCTGTGTTACCATGACTTCCTCTATACATTTTGGTGCACTTGAGCAGGTCATTGTACATCTCAAGCAAATATGGTGCCCACCCATGTTTGTTTGAAAATTCATACCTAAAATCTCGGAAATTCAGTAAAGAAATCTTCTTCTACTGAATGCTCAATCGAGTCAAACCATAAAAACCATTTCTTTAATGCAAATGACCGGTTCATGATTCAAACTCTGATCTATTTCTTTTCATTTGCGCCGCAAATCACATAAGTCATTCATTGATCATGAACATTTGACTTTTACGAAAAGAATTTCATAAGTTAATTTATAATTGTCAATAAAGATGTATTACATTTGGGTCACAAGCTAATTACAATCAAAATCCTATCCCTTTGATGTTCTACGTGTATATGGAAGACCTGATATTTGTGGATTTCATTAACAAAATAGGGATAGTACAATATTTGCAAATTGCAAGGATAAAGTTAGCTGCATAATACGTGTGCCCAATAGATGTGGTTGGCGTGCACAATACATTAATTTGTTGCAAATTCTACAATGTGTAGAGGATCTTGTTGGATACTTCAATGTCAATACTACAATTTCCGAATTATGAAATTTATAAAATCACTGGAATAAAAGTTTCTCAATAGAGTTTTCTTATTTAAATTCTCATCCTGTTGTAGAAAAGATTTCTAGATAGTTTAGTTATTTTTGGGAAAATTATTTTTTTGGACAAACCATGAAATTGAATTTTGAAAACATAGATCGTGGGATTCTGAATCCATAGAAATTGAGGGAAAGAACTTTAAAAAGTACATATTCTCTCTCGTGATTCACGCGTAGAGAAAATGCACACACACGAGAACAATTCAAATCATAAAAAATCAAAACAAGTAGCATTAATTGTTCGAATGGCTCAAGAATTTTTCAGTTTAGAATTTCTTATAACTAGAGTTCAAGATATTGCAAATCAGAATTCTGTTTATATCAATGTTTCGAAAATTAATCATACAAATCTATTTTTAATCCCATGACCTGCGTACCATTTATTTGATCCCCTCAGGTCCTGGGTGTTCATCAATTGGATATGGTGAAGCAGAGGAGCTAGGTCCATTTTTGAGCCAGAAAGGCAAACCAGAGCTCAAGCTGAACAAGAATTCTTGGAATCGAGGTATGCAAAAAGATTCATTAATTAAATATATGGTTTTTTTGGTATTTGTTTCATTATTTAGTTGGATTCTTATTAAATGGAGTAAGCCCATAATGAAGCTCTGACATTATAATCCATTCCCTAAATTGTGTACATTTTTACACAAAAATTTGCAAAAAAAAAAAAAAAACGCTAAATTCATGTATTAATCTTTACCTTAATAATACATATTTAAAAGAAAAACTATTTAGTTTATCCTTATTTTCATTGTTTACTTTGTGCAGTGGCAAATTTGCTCTTTCTGGAATCCCCTGTTGGAGTGGGATTTTCTTACACAAACACTAGTACTGATATCAAGGAGCTTGGTGATACCATCACAGGTACCTTTTATTGCATCTTAATTCAGGAAATTGCATTTTATTCTTAAATACTTGTTCGCTGACAAATCTTTCTTTTGTATCAGCTCAAGATTCCTACATTTTTTTGGTCAACTGGTTTAAAAGATTTCCACAATTTAAATCCCATGACTTCTACATCGCTGGGGAAAGTTATGCAGGTAAGAGCCTTGTCCCTTGTGGTTTATAGCCACGGTATATAACTCTTATAGTTTCAAAATCTGTATTTTAGCCTCATATACTTTAGGTTAACGTGAAACTATAAATTTTTTTACTAAAACTAACAATTATTACCTAAAAATTCAGGTATTGGCAGTCAATTTTAACATACAAGTTAATAATTTTACTTTAGAGCACTGATGGCTAGAGTGTAGATTTTGAATTAGGTAATTTTTATATACTGTCAGTGTATACATGAGTAGGTGTAAATGCATATTACATAATTCAATTTCAAATTTAAAATTCATTTTTTGTACAGGTGACATACATTTATAAGTATTAGCGTAAAAAATTATATATTAAAGCATCAAATCACCGGGGATTAAAAGGTGTTTAAAATTTGAGCATACTTGTTACATGAAAACAAATTTTTGTCCTTTGGTTTAGTATTTAATTGACACATAATAACTTTATATTTTTCAAGCTAAAAACTTGTTGCAAGCAAAGTAGATTGCCAAAATTTACAAGTGTTTTAAATATCTTTTTATTTTCCTTTTTTTTAATCTAAATTCGAAGTTCCTTGAATAGTTAAATCCTCCAATTAGCTTTGTTCTAAAATACACCACAAAATCATGTCTAATCACAAAAAGTCTCATAAAAAGTAAATTAAAAAAAGAAAAGAGGATATACCTTTCCCTAAATTTGTTTCCCGGGTTCCTAATTTGTCATGTCACTTTTTTTTTTTTAATTATTATTTCAACTTTTAGGCCATTACGTTCCCCAGCTGTCAGAGCTCATCTACGATAATAACGAAAAGGTCTCCAAGAAAACCTATATCAACTTTAAAGGTTTAATGGTAAGTTCTCCTATCATTAAGGATGTTATTTTATTTTTACAATCATTTGAAAATTTTACCTTCTATGCTTTGCTAATTTAACTTTTTGATTGCTTCTCATCTTTGGTCTGATGAGAGTTTCGACCAATCGTTATTAACATTCGAAAGTGAATCTTTGCTTTATCACTTTTTTTTTCATTGCTTTAGCACGTCTAAGTACCTAAACATAAGTCTCCAAATCCAGAAAGAGACAAACACATCTTAGAGAATTTTAGAAAGAGGATTAAAAGTTTAGTTTGAGTCCAGTACATGTTATCAGTTATTATGTTTGAACATATCTTTGTAAGCGATTTATGATCTTGGCAATACATATCTTAATGCATGTAATAACGGAGCCAAAACATCCAAATTTTTTCACAACCAAAAAAAAAAGGAAATAGAAAAGTTTTTCCTTTGAACAGAAGGAAATTATGGGGAGAGGAAGTGAGATGGGACAAGTGAAGAGGGGACAAACCAGTACAAGAAAATCATAGGTTGGTCCATTAATATCTCAACCGTTGCAACTTGCACCAGATGGGGGGAAAAACAATGAATAACAATTAGGTTTCTATTTCCAAACACAACTCATAAAATTTATCCCTTGCAAATCCACAACTAATAATTTGTGAAATTTCTGAACTCTTGATGACTTTGAATGATACGCTTTTCAGCAATGTTACTTGGAATCTTCGCTTTATCCTGCTTCACGCATGTTTTACTCTTTATTATGCACTAGATAATCCTGTCGGCAGGATTTAGTAGCCTAACATAAGTTTTCACAGCTTGCACAATTTTCTAGGTACAAGATCATTGTGAGTCAAATCAGCTGACACCTTTTCTTTCTTGCCATTGGATTAGAGACGTACTGCTCTTTCTGTACATATAAAAATTTACACGATTGCAGGTAGGGAATGCACTGTTGGATGATGAAACAGATCAAAGAGGACTGATTGATTATGCATATGATCATGCTGTAATATCTGATCAACTGTACAATGAGATTAAGGGTAAATGCAACTTTAGCACAGAACATCTGCCGAAAGACTGCAACGATGCACTTGGTAAGTACTTTGATGTCTACAAGATCATAGATATGTACAGCTTATATGCTCCAACCTGTGTTAAAAGCAACTCCACTAGCATCAGAAAACTTCCTGTGGTCCGAGGAGCTGCTCCCAAGTTATTTTCCCAGATTGTGAGTCACTGTTTCTCATCCCTTGTACTAATTCCCCTTTGATTAGAGACTTGATAGTTGCCTAAAATTTTTACTCAAAACCATGCATAATTAAGTACCTAAAATTCTAGCTTTAACCATTTGGTACAATCGTTACCTTAAACTTCGGATGTGAAAAAAAGTAGGCTCTTGACATCCTGCAAATGCTCAAGCTAATGTTCAAATCTGCAATTTTTGTCGAACATAAATACTCAAGAAACCAATTACATCTTAATTTATTGATTTTGAAGCTAATAAACAAAGTTGTTGCAGATTAATGTTAGTGGTGCTATATTTAGCCTCTATGATATCTTGTAATTGTGAAGTCATATTTGTGTGATCTTAAACAATGTGAACAAATTAAAATCAGTCAAGCTGCAGATAATGTTTAGCTTAATGGTTCCTCTATATTTCTAGGATGGATGGCACAGGAAACCAGCAGGTTATGATCCTTGTGCATCAGACTACACAGAGTTATATCTGAACAGGCCAGATGTTCAAAAATCTCTCCATGCAAATGTAACTAAAATCCCCTATAAATGGACACACTGCAGGTACAGATTATATGTGCAATTTGTTTTAATGTTAACCGAACATTAACTAAACGATGGCTCAATGCCAACATTTCCCTAGTAATTTATGTTAGAAATTATCCTTTCTATTTCTAGTATCCTCTGCCTTTCAACGTTTATATATGTCCTAATATAAAAAGCACGAATAATCTTGAAATGGTTTTTGGTGTATGCAGTGATAATATCACATTCTGGAGTGATGCCCCAGCTTCAATACTTCCGATCATTAAGAAACTCATTGATGGTGGTCTACGAGTATGGGTTTTTAGGTAATTAACAATATTTTCTTTTGGTTCTTTTGCCTGATAATGTTTTGGTAATTATGATTAGCAATGCCTAGTTATTTTGTTGGCATCCTACACTGCACTCAGAAGACAAGCCTAAGATATTTCTCCATTTTATTCGTCTTTGTAACACAGTGGAGATACTGATGGAAGAATTCCAGTAACATCAACAAGGTATACTCTGAAAAAGTTTGGTTTAAAAATCACCCAAGATTGGACTCCTTGGTATACTTTCCATAAGCAGGTAATTGAGTCATCTTTTTCGTCTTTCTTCAAAAATTTTCGAGGTACATTTCTTGAATTGTTGATCTTGTTCTTGTTAATAAAATTTGCATTCTTCTATAAATTTGCCATGTGAAAGGTTGGTGGATGGACAGTGCAGTACGATGGGTTGACGTTTGTCACAGTAAGAGGAGCTGGTCATCAGGTTCCCACGTTCAAACCCAAGCAAGCCCTTCAGATCGTCAGACATTTCTTAGACAATAATAAACTGCCATCCGCAGCATTTTAACATAATTATTCCTATTGTTTTCTTACAATATTCTTTTCTCTTGCATATCAGATCAAGGAAAAGAAATGTCATACATCAAGCTACAATAATACAACCACAGAATGACAGAATTGAGAGTCAATAATAGGTCAAAATTTCAGAATTCATTTTCCCTTCTTCTTTCTTCATCTTAATCATTCATTTTTAATGGGAAAAAAAAACCCCGAGCTCATTCCCTAAGGTTATTTGGCTTCAACCATGCTAAGAATTCATGCTAAGCGTTTATCTTAATCAACCATGAACAATACTTTGCTTGCGTAATCAAAAGTTTTCTTTAGTTTTCTGTGTATCTTTCTAGTTGTATCAGATAGCATATTATTTCAATTTTCCTCTATGAGAAACATTATGTCTGTTTGGATTAACTATTTTTTGGGGTGTTTTTAAAAATTTTTACTGTAGCAAAGTTTTCATATTATATTTTGGGATATTTTTAGAAAATATTTTGGGATATTTAAGAGTAGAAAAGTTTTTAGAATATATTTTGGGATATTTTTTAAATATTAAAAAAAATTTAGATTATTTTTTAAAATACCTTTTAGAGTACTTTTTAAAAATTTTATATTTAAAAAATTGATTTTTGAAAAACTCAGCAATCCATACAGATTCTAAGCATCAGATCAGAAAGGCAGGAACAAGGATTTACTTCCTCACTTTGAAGAAAATCTGACATGTAGCAGTACAACGACGGCAGTTTGAATTTGACGATCAAGACAATCAAGAAAACGTGTATGTTGAGTACAACTATTACTGTTTTCATTTGATGATCAAGACAATCCTATCAAGTTACCGAGTAAAAAAATTCTACTGATACGTTACAGCTTTCAAATCCAACGAAGGGCAAACACAATACGTTACAACTTTCAAATCCGATGAAGGGCAAACACAAAACTACCGGATCCGCTTGGATTAGCTGTTTTTGGGGTTATTTTTTAAAAACTATACTATTCATTTTTTGAAAAACAGCAAATGTTGTTTGGATTAGCTGTTTTTGAGAAACAGCTTGTTTTTCAAAAACAAACTTGTTTGGATTATCTGTTTTTGAAAAACAGCTTGTTTTTCAAAAACAAGCTTTTTTTTAGCTATTTTCGAAAAACATTCATTCAAATTGGTAATTAAAAAAATCAATAAATTTCATTCAACAAAATACTTTATCAGTACAACACTGGTATAATTAAAAGTAAACTTAATAGATAGAGATTTTACATAAGTGTACATGCCATATACAATAGCCACCGTGGAACCATTAGGGAAAAAGTTTGCCATTTGCAATCCGCCAACTAGTTACAAAAGCTACAAAATAGATAACGACAAAATGGAGCTACTAATGTTGGTGATAGTACATGCTGTTTGCCAAGCCGCTCCTGAATTCATTCCAACCAGCAATTCCTTGAGGCGACATATCCAGTGGTTCTGCACCGGCCATTTGGTCCACCACATGATTTATATTATCTGCCTGTGCTGCAATATTCTCTTCTTCAACAAAATATGCGTCATTCGGGACATTATCGCGCATAAAGTTGTGCAATGCACAGCAAGCCAGGACAATATTATTCTGTGTCGCCATCAAATAGTTCTGCATGGGGCCCTTAAGTATCGGAAATCGCTTCTTAAGAACACCAAACGTGCGTTCTATAATGTTCCGTAACGATGCATGGCGTCTGTTGAAAAGTGTTCTTGCTGCCCGCTCCTGTTGGGTTCCCCGTGCACCCCTAAAGGGAGCCATAAATCCTGGCATGTTCGTGTATGCCGCATCCACCGCATAATACTTCCCTGCACAATGTAATTATAGTTAAGTGCATTATAAATATTACTATAAATGTTTTAAGAAAAGTCATGCGATAAATTCCAAATGGATGATTTAATACCCAAATTACCTTCTGGTGGCCATGGAAAAGCACAAATAGGATCAAGTAAGACATCTTTTAAGATCCTAGAATCATGTGCGCTACCCTCCCACCCTACCCTGACATAAGTGAATCGCATATTATGATCACACACTGCTAATATATTTTGCGATAAGCCGCCATGCCTATTCCGATAACGCTCCCTGTCTTCAGCTCTACACCAAGCTGAAACATGCGTTCTATCAATAGCTCCAACACAATCCTAATCACAATAAGTAGACGTTCAGTCTCCTATAGATTATAATTAATAAAAGATTTCACAAAATATCCCTAACCTTAAACCATGGCCAAAACGTAGCACTGTTCTGTATTCTTGGATTCGTTGTGTGATAATCTATCGGCCGGACAAAATCACGTCCCAAGCGAACGAGAGATCGAAGGCATCGTCGAAGATGACGGTCTGTGGTCTCGGTTGTGCGTTGGAATCTCTCGGCTAGCACCCTATGTCGCTCGTTATGACTCAAGTAAAGAAGGCAAATGGCGAGAGACTCGTGAATGCCTACCCGTCCTGTCGGGTGGGGCTCCCAATAGCCCCTCTCAATCAACAAATCACATAACTGGAGGAAAAGCGGAGCTTCCATTCGAAGGTTGTCGAATATTCTGTCTCGATGGCCGTTTATGAGTTCTACAACCCATTGAGCACCCGACTGTGCACCATCTCGAATTCGTCGGCGTTCCACAGGGTTTAGGTATGGGTCGAACAGAGCCAATCCAACAAGCACAAAGTAGGTGAAGGTCAAAAGTATCTCCTCCTCATCTCCTTCGTCGAAGAAATCCCCACCTTGCAAATAATGCTCATACTCCATTTCCAAATGTGATCTCGGCAGCCAAAGTCACTCGTGATCCTGAGAAAAAAGGCTATTTTCAAAAGGCATGATCAACAACAACGCCATTATCTCCTAATTAAAGCATACTGGCAAATAGCTATATAGCATCAGCAAATCAAGAAGGCAGCTTATGTGCTATTTCGGGCAACAAATCTGAAAAAAAAAATCCACCACATGACAGCTAGTAATATGGCAATAGCTCTTGGAATATATATTCATCACAGTGAATAAGATTTCAAGTCAAGACAGCTACTAACAAGCCAATAAGTGAATATTTGGACAACAACAAAACCTGGCCAATCATATACCTTAGGACAGCATTTTACTTTGCCATTTCAGTTCACAACATTTGTAGCTATGAACAAATGCCTTAAAACGAGTAACCTGTTGTTAATGAAAACTAGCACCACATTCCTAATCCTATCCTTAGAAATTATCACACAAAGTCATCCCCAAAAATATATACTACTCATGGTTTTAAATAGCAACCAACAGAGGACCAAACACAATTAACTCAAATCCTGCGTTTCGACATATAATATCCAGGGCATTCATGGACACAAAGCCCCCCTGAATTTAGAGATTAACCAAGACAGTCAATGCCACAAACACATCATCAATAATAATAAAAACCCAACAACTCCAGCCGAATGCAATAAAAACTGAACAAACTCATGGCCAGTACGGGGCCGGAATCCAAATAGACAAATCACAACACCTCTGAAAAAAAAAACACTCAAATGTATCGGTAGCAAATGCTACAACAAGCTGAGTTGGCTATAAAGAAAGTAAGTCAACAACTCAAGTCTCAGATACAAGCTCCCGATGGAAATGAAACGCCTAGAACGGAGGTGGGGGAGGGGGCTCCTGCGTATCAGATGGGAAACAGCCTTTCGTTTTCATAAATGTGATGCGGTCGGCGTCCGATTGTGCTAAATTCCAAATGGCCAGCTCTTGCTTATCCTTCAATATTTCAGCCACGGCCATTTTGGAGGCGTATGAAATGTTCTCCATTCCCCGAAGTTGATCCATGGCAACTTCATAGGTGGTTTTGGTCGGGCCACCGCGGCCGGAACACTGCTTGTCCGGAGAACTGACTGACACGCCCATGCTGCTGCTCTTATGGCGACTAACCAGGGACTCAATGGTGTCAAGAGCCTTCATGTACCTATCAGAATGGGAGGCGGTGGACATAGGACTACCGCTTGACATGTCCCCCAATTTTCGCTTTCCTTTGCCCTTTCTCCTTTTCGCTTCATTTGCCCCTGCTAACTCAGTTTGAACACCCTCATGCACAGCATCCAACCTTCCCTTTCCCCGTGACGATCGGGCAAAGTTCTCCATGTATCTCTCCTCGGGTGAAGTACGGGGCTCGTTCTCAAAGCCAGCGCTGAAATCTCCCGTTGCTCCTTGGTTGACAAAAACCTCCTCAAGCAAGTGGTAGACGGTGCAGTCATCTTGAAATTTTAAAAATTTTGGGTTCACCTGACAAAAAAAAAAACACAGCCAAAAGGATATTTGAGGGAGCTGCACGTATAATCTGATTAACTTTTAACAGCCATTAAATTGATATAAAAACAGTTTACTTGACAAAAAATACCTGTGCAAGCTCAGCCCACTTGCTATCGTCCATGAGCCAGGTAAAGTTCTGGCTATCCCAACCCAGTCCCGTTTCCCGCCTCTTGAAGCCAATGTACAGCTTGGTAAGTTCTCGCAAGGCATAGTATTTGGCTCTTATGCTGTCCCAAGTGAACGATGTGCCAAATTGGCTGTTCAACTGCTATTGAATTTCGGGAACCACGTAGCTACCAATATTATTGTCCCTAATTTCACTAGCTCTATGCATGCTGACTAGGCGCTCAGCAATTTCTATTTCCTGCTTCCTAGTGAAATAAAATTTCTGTCCACCTGGATTGCGCCTTTGTTTTCTCATCTTATTAATCCATAAACAAAGGCAATCAGACACGTTGGTACTTATACTATCGGCCGGACAAAACAGAGATGAAATAATAAGTAGCGAAAGTAGAGGACTAGCAGGTATAACCTTGTAGTAGTTAGAAATGCACGTTTGTAAATCGTTTTCCCCCCAAGCTGAGTTGGATCCCCTTGGATTGTCACAATTTTTCGTCTTCAATGCTGTGTTTGCACACGAGTCAAAATTAGTCGCACTAAACAAGGCAGTAAACAGAGTCAGAACCACGCAAACTACCTTTGGAAGCACGGCGGGTAATAGGGGGCATGTAACTTTAGAGAACGGCAATGAAAACACCAACCTACCCTGTTTTGTAGCACCAAACAGCAGTATGAAGTTAGACTGCAGATACCAATCTCATCTATAGCCGGAGAAGACAATTTAAAATCACAGAAATAGCATCAGAGAGTTCATTTTGGGGTAAAAACACAAGAATTAATGCTACAATAATATGAAAACATGACTGCAGTCGCATTTGAACAAAGCGAGACACACTCATGGGGGCAATAATATGCCAAAGCACAATCAGAAGCACAAGTTCTCCATGTAATTTCCATCAGAAGCACAAACATATGCTTCATTCACTGAATTTAGGCAATTCTAATGAATCTCAATCTTGGTAAATTTATATAAGGACTATCGAATACAACCACCAACTCCGACAAAACAGCACCAGACAAAATTCATGACCAACTCATATGAATTGAAGTCAATGCCGTATTGTGGTCATCCACTTTCTCAATATTTTGAAAAATGAAATCTGACATTGAATTCAGAGCATGGCCAGTTTATCGTCTCAATATTCAAACCAGCTCCATTTTTCATGGTTCATTTTCAGCATTGCCGAGACTTGGTTCATCCACCACAATACTCTGCACAACTAATCTGTAACTCTACTGTCCAACACCTCTAAATGTGATGATTTGGAAAATTGAAAGCAGCGCACAAATTTTGACCTCACAGTCAAATTTTTGGGGCTTCCGGACATCAAATTTTGAACATCCCACACATTATTCTTTACAATACGCAGCAAGAACAGTAAAGTGAAAGCCGCAAAATGCCTTAGAAACATAACCTTAACAGTACATCGAAGGGC